GTGTGTGTGTGTGCTGGGGGGGGGCACCCACCTGTCCAGGAGCTCCCAGTCCTCACCGCCCCACTGGTCTCGGAATTCCTCCGTGTTCATGCCCCCAACCCGCTCGAAGTCAGACTTGTAGATCCCGAACAGGCCAAAGCCGTTGACCTCCCAGTAGCCTGGAGTGGAAGGGTCTTTCTCACACAGGGTCCTGTGAGGGCCCCTCCCGCAAGGCCCCTGGAAACTTCCAGGCTCTAGGGAAAGAATCTGGGTAGGGCCCATCTGAAGGAGCCTCAACTGGAGCCCAGCAAATAACTATGGGCGCTGGAGAAGCCCCTAGCCTCCGGTCTGAGCCGTGGGCCCTAGAATTACTTGCGTGGGGTGCTGGGTGTTACAGGGGCCCAGGGCACAAGAGGCTGCTCCTGGGTGGCGCTGGCCTGGGCCGGCACTACTTACCGTGTGGGTCTGCCGGCGAGCTGCCGCAGCCCAGGCGCATGACCACAGGCGCGAAGGCCAGCTTGCCCTCCACACAGTGCTTCCGGACGCTGTCCAGGATGCTCACGGGGAAGTGAATGTGCAGGTCGCACAGGAAGACGATGCTGCTGGAGTCCTGCGGGACAGCGGGGGCTGAGCCCCGCTCCCTGGCCCCCGCCCACCCCTCAGCGCCCCGCCCTCTCCCGGGAGCCCCGCCTCCGCCCATTCCGCGAACCTGGACAGCGTCCACTCCGGCCTGCAACCCTGCTGAGCGCTCGAAGTTGCCGGCTCGCCTGAGGTACTGGTACCTGGGGCAGAGAGCATGCAGGGAGGTTCCTGTGGCAGGAGAGCGGCCGCCGGCAGGCAGAGGCGCCTAGTTCCCGCCGCCCGCCCATCTGGGGAAGCCAGTTACCCGGGCAGCCGCGCCGCCCGCAGGGCCTGCTCCACGTCCATGTCGTCGCTCTCAAAGTCCACCAGGATGATGCTGAAGCGCGAGTCCCCGGTGCGCGCGTGCAGTGAGGCCATGTCCGCCAGGAACTGCACCACCCAGCGCGCCTGGTTCTTTACTGGGGGAGGGGACAGTGAGCGCGACCCCGCGGCTCCAGGGCCAGCGGGAGCCCCCTCTCAGGGCTAGCGGGCCACCCTGCATACCTGGCACGATGAAGTGCACCATCACATCCTGGCGCCAGGCCAGGCGCAGAGGCCGACAGAGCTCCGGGCGGCTGTCTGGGCGCACCGAGGCGGCGGCGGGTTCAGGGCTTGCTGCGGCCCCCTCCGCTACGTCTTCGTCCGCGTCCCCTGCGGCGCGGGCCCCTGACAGCCGCAGGAAGACGTACTCGGACAGGCGCAGGCGGCCGCCCCCGCGCTCCTGCAGCTCCAGCTCCAACAGGAAGCGGCTCCCGCGGGCCGAGTCGCGGCGCTTCTCCACATTCACAATGCGCAGGAGCGCAAAGCGCCTATGAGGCGGGGCCAGATCACTGCAGGACTCTGGAATCTGCATACCCCCCCACTGCCTTTGGGGACACCCCTAACCAAAGACACAAGGCCAAAGGTTCCACGGATAGGCGGGGAGTGGGCTGCTTCCCGGCCACACGAGGGAGGTGCCTGAAAAGACGCCTCTCCTTCCCCACTGAGACCTGCAGTCTGTGCCCCTACCCATAAACCTACTCTCCCTCTTAGGGTCTCCTCCCCACCCCTCACCCCCACAAGGCAAGTTCCTCTTCCTCAACAGCCCTCTGCCCACAGGACGAAGCCCTCATCACAGGCCTTTCCAAGGCGCTGCCTTGAATCTTCCCAATGCCAGTGTCTCTGTCTTTGGGTGTCCCTGGTCTGGGATTCAGACCCCACGCCCACTCCCCAGTGCCCTGCCCTCCCCACTCTCCTCTCCAGCTGTCCCCATTAGCCAGAACTTCTACCTGGAGCTCACTGCGGGACCCCTAGCGGCCCAGGCTCCTTCCCCTGATAGCGTTCCCAAACTGGCTGACCTTGTACCGCAAACACTCCAGGCCTCTACATACTTCCTCCAGGGGTCACCCACACCATCTGGGGCACAAAGGGGTGTCTAGCCATGACTATCCCACTGGACAGACCCCTTGTACTCACAGGTACAGAGCTCCACGCACAACACTTCGGGCAAAGTTGCCCTTCAGCCCCAGAAGGACTGGCTGTCCCATCTCTGTCCTGGGCTGCAGCCACAGCTTATCACTGACCTCAGGGGCCTGCCCACCCCAGCTACGTACAAAGGGCCTGCCCACCCCAGCTACGTACAAAGGGTCAGATGCTTGCTCCCCCCTCTCCCCCACCCATGAGGGCCCCTACTGCCACAGAGCCCATCACTATTCAGGAGTCCCCACTGACCAGGAGGAGAGGCTCCACTGTCCATGAGAGCCCCCCACTGCCCACAAGAGAACCCCAGTGCTCACAAGAGAGCACCCCCCCCACTGTCCAGAGAGCTGTCTTTGAGGCCCAGGGCTGGCCTGTCTCCTTCCTCTCCTGTCCGCCCACTTCCTGTCTCCCCCAGCAGCATGGGGGTGGGGAGGACAGTGGATTCCTGGGCCCTGGGGATGGCAGAGAGATCAATGGGGACAGGGATCTCCTGAGAAGAGCCAGAGGCTCCTGTGAAGGAAGCAGCAGAGCTGGGGTGGCTGCTGGGGGCCCTCAGTATTGACCACTTACCACCAGGAATCAGACCCTCTGGGGCATGTGTAGGGTATGGATACAAGGGCCTGAGAGAGCCTCTTGTGTCAGGGTAGGGGCGCTGGGCTGGAGAGGGGAGGGGGGCCCAAAAGGGAGGGGAGAGGCCTAGGGCCTCCCAGCATGGGCTGGCATCCCTGCCCCTGAGCGGGCCGTACCCGCCATGGCGTGCATTGAGTCGATCCATGTATTGCGCCACCACGTCCACGGCCTCAGCCTCGGCCAGCTGCAGGTTCCCTGACACGTTGCAGCGCAAGTCGTTCCAGTCGGAGCGCAGCAGCTCGAAGTCCACAGCGGCCACACTGAACGTGCGCTGCCAGTCAATGGACCCTTCCCGCCAGCGGCCCTGGCGCTCCTGGCCTTCCTCACTGTCCTCCGATGTGGCCTCATCACCGCCAGGGGCCCCACCTTCCTCCCCTTCCTCCTCCTCCTCGCCCTCCCCAGGCAGCTCCAGCCTGGCCACCTGAGACAAGCTCAGGAAGGAGGTCACAGGCTGCACCTCAGAAGACGAGTTCGAGTCTGCGGTGGTCACCGCGAGTCCTGGTGTGCGGGCCTGGCCCCCCTGGGGGGCCTGCACCCGGGCCAGAGGGAGGCTGGTCCTGCGGCCACGGGGCCGCAATGGCCGCGGGGGTGCCCGAAGCTGCACCCTGGGCAAAGGCCTGGGGTGGAGGAAAACGCCGGGGAAGGGGGCCCAGGGTGGGCCGCGGGGTCGGAGGGGTACGGGGGCTCGGCGCAGTGCCTGTCTGCCCGGCCGCACCCTCGTCACGTACACCTTGGGTGGTGGTGGCCGGGCCTTGGAGTCCGGGCGCCGAGCTTGGCCCAGGAAAAGTGGACGGGGAGGTGGCTGGGCGGCCCAGCTCAGCACCCGCGAGCGGCGAGAGGTCCTGGCGTCCAGGACCTCGGGCAGTGTCGGTGGCCAGGGAGTCGCCCCAGCGGCGGTGGGAGCAGCTAGGGAGGGGGGCCGGCTGGGTGGGCCCGCCACCTCGGAGGGCTCCGAGCTGTCCAGCAGCGCGCCCTCGTCCTCGTCATCCAGGAAGTCTGTGGGGAACCTGGTTGCAGTTATTCCTGGGTGGGGGCGGGGCGGGGCGGGGCGGGGGCGGAGGGGCGCTCACCCACCGTCTGGGTTGAGAAAGAGGAAGGCTCTGCGCTGCACTTCGGCCTCCTCTCCATCCAAGTCTTCCTTGTCCATCTTCATGTATTTATAGAACCCGAACCTGGGGGGGTGGGGGGGGCATCAGAGGCTCCGCCCACACATGGCTGCCCCACCCTCCGCAGGGCTGCCCTGCCCCTACCTTTCTAGGTACAGGGGCGACTCGCGGTAGAAGCATTTGTTGTCCATCTCCATGTGTGTGAGGCGCGTGTAATCATTGGGGTAAACGAAGGACAGGTACACCTGAGGGCGGGTGGGAGGGCTCAGGTCGGGGGCTCAGGGCCTTGGGGGCTGGGGAGGGTCTTGGGCAGGCACGTACAAATTGTAGCCCCTGGTATCTGGCGATAGGGAAGTCCTTGACCACGTAGGTTGGAGCGTAGGCACAGGCTTCCAGCACATTTTCCAGGTGAGCGGGCTCTAATCGGGGAGCTGTGGGAAGGGGCAGTCACAGTGCATCCGGTCCCGTGGCCCCACACCCACCCACGCCCCTGTCACCCCCTCTCACTCAAGAAGAATGTGTCTCGGGGATCGGGCCGCAGCATGTCGGCTCTGGGCTCCTCCGGTAGTTGCCCTCCCCCTACGTAGCTGGCGGGGGACTGAGGGACGTGGGCCACGTGGTCCATCTTCAGGGCGGCCTCATCTGTGGGGTGGAGGGTTGTGTGGGTGCCTTGGCTGTACCCAGAAACTTCCCTAGCCCCCCTACACCCAGGAACCATGCTTAGGAGACCACTTGGCCCACACCCCCTGCCCCTCTGCACCTGTATAGAGTGAGATATGGGCGGAGTCGATGATCTCAAACTTCAGGCCAGGCAGGAAAGCACGCCACTGGGGACGGAGAGAGTGGCCAGGACCTGAGGGTGGGTGTCTGGAGCACCGGAGGAGCAGGGGACAGGAGGGGGGAGTCTCTCGCGGGTGTGGGCAGCTCGGAGGGTGGCTGGGACAGGAGTCCTGTGCCTGAGAAGGGGAGCTGGGAAGATGTGAAGTGAGACCTAGGAGTGGTGGGGGATAGGGGTGCCCCGCATTTCCTGTCATACCTGGCCTGCCTCACCCCCACTCCAGCTCTGCTGCCCTTGCTGTCACAGCAGAATCCCCTACCCATCGGTTTGGGGGAGGGCGAGTGGACCCCCTCAAGCAGCTGGTCAGCAAGCTCTGTTCCTCTTCCTGGTCCACTCAAGCTGTCCATTCTCATTCAGGACCGTCAGCTTCAGCAGGGAGCCCCAAACTTGCACCCCAGTCTTCACTCTACACACAGCCTCACTCACAGAGCTGAAGTGGAGTGTCCCATGCTGGACACCCTGTCCTCTAGGGCAGTGTCCCTGTTCCCACCTTCCAGCCCCACTGCCACCTCCTCCCTGGTAGAAGCCTCCTGCCCTCTAGCCCCCAATCTCTCCTGTTGTCCCTGAAATGCCCATCTGATCACTTCCTGCCCTGGGCACACAGCCTGGGCTATCGAGGGGCCCTGGGGCCCACTGACCGGGCGTTGGCAGTTGGGAAGACAGGGCCATCCTGTGGGGGCGGACGTTTACCCAACAAGATGCTCATTATGCACTCTCTCCAGGTGTCTCCTTGGGACATCTGACCCTCTCTCCAACTTTGACCCTAGGGTAAGGTGACCAGACGTCCCGCTTTTGGTGGGACAGTCCCGATTTTGAGCAATTTTTTAAAAGCCCCAATTTTTGGAAAGAATGCACAACAAGCCAGGGTATATGGTTTTCGGCTGCCATGTGGCTATTTCGCCAGGATATGAGTTTTATCAATGGTGTCCCGCTTTACCAATGTTAAAATCTGGTCACCTTACCCTAGGGTCACCTCCGACCCCCTCCTGTAAAGGCTCTTCTGCCCCAGTGGCTGCTCCCTGACCTGTTTCCCCCCCAGGAGGCTGGGGCTCAGGGCAGCATTGAGTGGTTTGGGGAGACCCTCAGGGCACACTCACGCCCACTTCTACGTGGTCCGAGCCTTGGTTGTCCTGTTTGTGCAGCAGTTCAAAGTAGTACCTCCGGGAGGCCATGAGCCTGGGTACACGGGGAGTCAGGTCAGGGACGTGCCCACCACACCCTACCTGATGTCCCCAGACTGACAAGGAGCCCGGGAAAGCAGGGGCTCCCACACCTCTCCCAGCTGGCCCTGGGGGAGGAGGGTGGCGCATGCGAAGTGGTTCCGTAATGGCCGGAAAGGTGTGCCGGAGAGCTGGCAAGCTTTCCCCTCAAACACACACAGGGACACACATGCAGACGTGCACCAAACACACACAGGGACACACATGCAGACGTGCACCAAACACACACAGGGACACACATGC